TGACTGACGTAGAAAGTTTCTTTCTCCCCACCCTGAGGAGTGGAATGGCTTGGTACCATGGCACTCACTGGTAATTGTGGTAGAGCAGTTTGAGTGGAGGAGAGAGATTAGAACCCACGTCTAAGCAGTTTGATTAATGGATGAGGCATGAGGAAGTACGCACAGCACACCACTCTTTTGTACATTTTGTTTGTGAAGGAGAGCAAAGGGGTGATATCCGTAGCTAGTAGAAAATGTAGATTTGAGATGGGTCGGGAGAGAGGCAAAGAGAGAGATGGAGAGAGACAGAAAAGAGAGAGAGGGAGAGGATGAGGGAGAGGGAGGGACTGAGGGAGAGGGAGAAAGCATGGCAGGTCTATAACTATTCTCAAGTACAGCTTTACTGAGAGAAGGCTGACCGTGCAGCATGAAAGTTTTTAAATCCTTGGGAAGAGTTGGCCATCGACAGGAAGGTGACAGCTCCTGAATCAGGGAGAGAGGATGGCCAGCTAGCAGGAAGAGGGGAGTTAACTGATTTGGTCTTTGGAAGATGCAGGAATCCTAGGCTAGTGGTGTTTAGTTCTTTGGTGAAGCATGAAATAAAGTCAAAGGATTCTAGAGCAGGGAGGGAAACTTACTTTTGGTTTGGGAAAAAGAAGGCAGTAGGAAATTAGTGTCTTGGGGTTTGGCAAAGCAGGTTTATTGAGGAATATAGTGCAGTTACCAGCACTTGGACAGCTTAGGTTTGAAATCAGACCTTGGAAGTAAAATGGGCTGACTCTTGAGCAGTTTTCTCCAGTTGTATTCTCCAGCTGCTTGGGTTCAGAAAAGGCAAGTAATTGGGCAGATCCAGGCCTGAGTTTTGAGAGGAGTGAGAGGAAGCAAGAGAGATGGGGTTGTTTGTAATGATTGTGACGATGGACTGTGTGCTCGGACTTGGGTCGCTTCATCAAGAAACACTTCACAGCTTTAATTTTGCAAGTATACTTCCATATCAAGGCTCAGAGTTATAGAAAGAACATGTGTGTTCTGATATCATGTCTGCTACTTGCATATGACCTTGGATAAATTATCTGAGTACCCTTGGCTAGAGTTCCTTTATCGTCAAGTAAGGATAACACCATAAGCCACATCACGGCATTATAATGTAGACTGTGTTTACACATAGCAAAGGAGAATTTTCCACCCAAAGAGTACAACTTGAACACTAGCATAGTAGTCTATCACTATAATTAATATTATACAGCCTGACCTACTGTGTTATCTTTCACTTTGACAGCAAGGGAGAAATATTTCTCTTTCTGATTGTCTTACCCCAGAGTAAAATACCTAGTGCTTTCTCCCACATTTGTGTTTTTAATTAATTCATTCACCTTTAGTCCTTTCCTCTTATATGCCTTTACATTTATAACGGGACTGAAATGATAAATAGCAAGCCTCCAAAATCCAGTTTCAAGCATGAAATTGGGTAGATAGTAACAAGTGAGTATTTTCAGCCATGTGTCAGTTTTTGGGGAAGCAGAATGCCTTGTAGTCATCTTTCCACATTTCATGGACAAAATAAGACTATTCTCATGAGGACAAATAGGTCTAAAAAATATCTTCCCTAGCGCAGATGTTTGCTCAGAAATCAGTATCTTACTAATTTGTCAAAAATAAACATACTTTGCTTTTGGTTCATTGCCTCATGTAGTGGGCTAGTTATGATACAAGACGAATTGTGTGTTAGCATATTGTCTGTTATATCATATCATTCATGTTGTTCTTTCTATGGTTTAGCAGAGTACATTATTCTGAATAAAACCCAGTAGAGGCATATACTATTTATTAATCTTGTTGGTGTAATATTTTGTTAATGCCTGGAATGTGTGAGACCCCATATTATCTCACGTGGAATGCTCACATATAAAGGGGCACTGTTAGAAATCATAGCAACCCACCAATGTGTAATTCGTGTCTAAAGTCCAATATAATGAAAGACTGTCTGGTTGTTGAAGGATAATTTTCAAAACAGATAAAATCTTTACTGTCACACAAGTATAAAAAGAGCATGTATCAAATATGTCATTTAACTCATTAATAAGAGAACCAATAAGAAGTCGTAGCAGTCTCCAAGGAGAAGACTAAGTGCCTCGCCTTTATGGTCAGAGAAGGGATACTAAGATGAATTTATTTATAGGTGCAAAGCTGACAAAGTAGTCAATATCCCTGGGTCAATAATAGCTGCGTTCCATGGGATGCGATTTCCATTTCTATGGACAAAAGCCATGCATTATGATCAGTTGTCTTGAGTTTGCAGAATTTAAAATAGCACAGAGATAATTTAAGCTTTATAGGGTACACACTAACTTTCCCCCTTCCAAAGCCTCCTTACATAAGCACAACTGCAGGGGGGCCTGGCACCCTGCATAGATGTCCCAAATTCTCCTTATTGCTTTGGACTCAACTGTTACTTGCTACTTTGTTACATTTTCAGTTTTTCATTGTTTTCTCAGACAGATTCCTATGTCTAATGACTTCTTGAAAAGAAGATTTTAGGAACCCAGTGGTAATTTTATATGACAGTTCATTGTGCTACATAGTATTAAGTTTTACTTCCCATTCATATTTGTGAGTAGCTTGAAGCTAAACTGATTTGGGGGGTACTTTGATACCATTTTGGTTGACTGTACTGGGAGAACTGGAAGCATTTGTTGCCGAGCCACCTGCAGCTGTTCAAATACTTTGAGCCTTTTGGTTCATTGTATATTTTGTCCTAACCCTTCTTCCCACCTAAATAGAAAGAAAGAAAGAAAATTCAATAGCACATTGCATCTCCTGCTTTATTTTACTGTTGTTTGGTAAGCTGCAATTTTACTTTTGTAACCAGAGGCTGTATTTATTTTCAGCGTTGGCAGTTCTGCCTAATGAATCAACTGGTATTGAATTCACAAAGGAGATGCCGTTTCCCTCCCTCCATCTGTTTGCCAAATGTGTGTGTTCCCTCCGCTCCAAGACATCACAGTTGCACTAAAGACAGCCATTAGCAGCGGGCTGGATTCTCATCCTCTGCCTGACTGAATAGTGGCACTTTCCTCTTATGGTCAAATAGGGGTTGTGTGGGGTAAAGCTCCACATCTGTGATTCTTGAGAAAGCATCCTTGTCTGTGTCGTTTAAGTATAAACTCTGGCTCTGCATTTCTAAAAAGCTTTAGGTTGATCCTCAAGCCCTGGTTTGTTCTATCATGAGGGGATGCCTGTCTTTGGACAGTAGTCTTGGCATAGGGACTGAACTTACTCCAAAGACGAGATCAACTGAGGCTAAGTAGGCTCAGGCTTTGTAGGCTAAGTGTAGGGACCCATGATGATGTACTGAAATCATACTAGATTTTCAGCAAATTGTACCTTCATTCTTACTGGTATTAGGGAGGGTATTCTTTCTCGTGATTCTGCATTTCTGCCAAGTTCTTGGCCACACTATCAACAGGAAGAATTTAGAGCTGACAACTGAGTACTTGACCAATGTTCTTTGGAACAACATAGATAGTGAAAGCGTGGATGGTTTTGTTGGTGTTCAGGTCAAGTGGAAATCCTTTTCCCTCTGATTAGGGTCAAGAACCAGATAAGGGAGAGTCAGACAGTTTTTCTAACTCATCCTGAAACAGATCTTCCCATTATAGAGTCATTGTATATTATTTTGCTTGAGGTTTTGGAATTGCCAGAAGATTTTACATGCTCAAGTTCAAATATAAACTTTATATACTTCTCAAAGTGAATTATGAATTATTTGTGGGTTCTGTTATCTGTAATACATATATAAAAACGATTATGTGTTTTTCCAAGGGACATGTCCTACTTTTTGACATATTACATAGGTTTTAAAACAATTTCTCCTAAATTTGTCTTATGAATATTTTAATAGCAGCTGTCTTGTGTACTATGCTGTTTCATGAAGCTTACGAAACAGTTTTGTAAGAACTTAGTATTGTCTGAGAAGTCTTTTGAGTACGATTAAATGTTATTACCCTATCTATTCTGACCTAGATAAGGGGCAGTGAACTATTTTTAAATATAAGGCCACTAACCCATCAAAGTTATGAGCTACTATACACACACACACACACACTCACAATTTTAAGCACTACATTTATCTGTTTTACCCTCATCTTTGTCCCCAGTGACTTCCAACTAATATGTGCATTAGTTTTGAAATTTTCAGAAAAAAAGTAATAGAAACTTGCTTTGAGAGTAAGTAATAAAGATCATAAACAAAATAGCTCAATACATATGCAAATAATATTCCTGATTATTACAGGAAGCCGAGAAGACAGAGGTAGAATCCAATGTACGAGAGAGAAGGAGTAGGGGCCCCTGACACACAGGAAGAACGGGGAGAGCAAATCTGCATTAAGGAAGGAGGGAGTGCGTGTTAGAGAAGAGCTTCATGGGTCATGAGGTTGTGACATTATTCAGACTTAAATTCTTCATTTCTTTTTTTTTTTTTTTTGGTTTTTCTCCGGTACCGGGAACTGAACTCACGACCTTGCGCTTGCCAGGCAGGCGCTTTGCCGCTGAGCTAAATCCCCAGCCCCAAATTCTTCATTTCTGTGGTCTCTGCCAATTCTGTTAGGATTGCTAGATGATAACCAATCTTCACAGCATTGCTACTGTCTGAGACTTTGTCTTGAGAGTGGATTTATTCTGACACCTTTATGGATTTGACCATATCTATCCTGGCCCCCAAGTGTCCCTGGCAGTCACTCTTTATGTCCAGATTTTAATATTTAGTTTCAATTCTTTTCATAACAGGTAAATCAAATTTTCATCTGTCCTGTCATGATAGGGTTGCTCAAACAAAGTGCATTATTGTTGTTTCCAGTATTAAGTAATAATTAGGCACTGGGTCCTGAATGATCCATATGGTGACAATTTTGTATGTATCTTGAAACTTTTGAAAAAAAAATCCATCTGAGTATTTCCTGTGTGGCCTATATTTTGTGGTCTCCTGTTTGTTTTTAAAACTTTACTTTTTTTTTTTTCAGTCATCAAACTCAGACAACCTGTTGGGATCACCCTAAGATGACCGAACTCTTTCAATCCCTTGGTGAGTGTTATTTTATCGACTAGGAACAGATTAACCAAACAACTGAGAACTGCGTATTCTTAAAAGGAAACTAGTCACCAGCTTTTCTTCTGTGACATCTTACCTCGAGAAGATCAGGTCATTGACATTTAACAGCCCTGACTCCAGGGGTGACACAGGGCACAGGTTTCACCTTTCTCTTTAAGAGGATGTGTGTTTTGGAGGGGTGGGAGCCAAAGAGAGTTCTTTCGCCAGGAGGAATGGAACTGTAGGCATGACATCTCCCAGACTGAGTCATCTTAAATTTCAGCTTTGAGAAAAGTATGCATTAACAATGTAACTTCTGTCCACTGCCTTAATTTTGTTTTTAGCTTTTCCTGCTTCGAAATTTTGTAAATCAGTTTAGTGAACCTAATTTCATTTTTGCTTAGCTCATGAAAAGCCAGATTCATTTTAATATAAAAACGCAAGAAAACGCTGTAGGTGAGGATCCTGTTCTTGCTTGAATTTCTAGAAGACTGTTACTTTCCGCCAGTTGCTTAGTCTGCTTCCATCAGGTTGATCCAGTGGTGTTTTTTCGTTTTTCTCCCAGTAACGAGGGAGGGAGAAAGCAGCATGAAGCCTCCCATTCCCTTTTCCGCGAGAGGCACGCATGTTTTCTGTGCCTTAAACATAGGGCTTTCTTCTGCGTAACCTTTTATTTGGGTAAGAGAAGGTGTTGCAGAAGACTAACAAGCAAGGAAAACCACTGCTTTCTGTAGTTTGTAGGGTGAGGTGATGGATTTTGATGATTTGCAAGTTTTCTTCTGACTCTCCTGGCTCTGATCCTCCTCCATGTTTGAGGCACAGAGGAGGAAATCACAATATGTGTTGTTTTCAAGATCATAATCTTGGGGCTGGGGATTTAGCTCAGCGGCAAAAGCGCCTGCCTGGCAAGCGCAAGGTCGTGAGTTCGGTTCCTGGTACCGGAGGAAAAAAAAAAAAAAAAAAAAAAAAAGATCATAACCTTGATCATCTTAATCAGGTCTACTACAGGGCAAATGAAGCAAACAGGTCAGGATGAAGGGAGCACAGCATGGACCATCTTCATGAGCCACGGTGATGAATAGCGTGGTTACAGAAAACTAATTGTCCTTGGAAAAATGCCCTGGAGGAGGACAGTCCCCTCTAGTATAGAGAAGGAATTGATTTGGCTGTGATAATAGCTATGTCTTCTTTTCCTCGTCTTCTTTTTCCTATAAATGGGCAGAAAGTGTGATTCCATACCTCATCCATCCTAAGGGTCACAAGTGATTGTGCTGCAACACAAGACAGGTTGACTAGAGAAAGGCACAATGAGCTTACTCAGAGTTTCATGGAACATGGGAATCTTCAGAAATAAAGACCCAGGGGGAAATAGTCTGGTTTTCTGTTCAGGTTGCATGAGGAATTGACAGAGGGTCGGATCTAATGATATTAGACTGAAGAGCAAGCTGCGCGAGTCTTTCTGTCCAGATTCTTTTTAGTCTCTCTGTGTGGCAGTCAGTATCCCTGTCACATGAGGGTCTTCGAGAAACAAAGGGGAAGGTCAGAGAGTGCCTTTTCAAGATTTTATGGCTGGCTTTGGAAAAGAGTAGTTCTAGATTTTATGAGTTGCTTTGAGGAAGAGGAATTCTGGTTGCTTTGATTTGCTTTAGGGGAGAAGAAGGGGTGAAGACAGGAGGGCAGAAGAAAGTCAGAATGACCTTGCTTTAAAGCCCTTTGCCTTCCAGTGTCCTGTGATTCAAAGAACTCAGCACACCAACAGACCATGCTTCAGGTTTTCAGCATGGTCACCTATTTGAAAATGCTTTCTTAAAATTTTTTGCGTAGTACTACTTTGAAATGGATTGCAACATGGTGCTAGTGATCACTTAATTATTTGCAAAAATAAACGTGGTAAAATTAGGAGAAGGCTTTTTACTGAGGACAGACATGGTATTTTTCCATCATCCAAAGTAAGCAAATACATACTTGGCATTTAATACAAGTTAAATAATAAGCATGCTGTTTAAATTGTTCCTTTTTCCATTTCAGCTGACCTGAATAATGTGCGTTTCTCTGCCTACCGCACAGCAATCAAAATCCGAAGACTACAAAAAGCACTATGCCGTGAGTTATTCTACCAAAGTTAATCACTCTATTCTTTAGATTGCTTTTTTCTTTTTAAAGACAAAGCTAAATGAAGAGAATGATGCATTTGTGGAGTTAACCTGATTTTCAGTGTACTCTGCTCCAGGGGTCGGCTATGGTTCTGTAAGTGCTTTGTTATTTGCCCCATCAGCATGCAGTAGTGAAACAAATGAATGGATGCCACTCTAATTGGAGAGTAAAATTAACCAAAACACAGGAGTGACATAGAAAGCTTTTGCAAACAGTGTGCTGTCACCTAATTTAAAAAGATTAAATCAAGGAATCTAAGTAGTAGGTCATTGCCTTCTTAGTACTTTGTATTCATTTACAAGTACAATGTTCCACACATTTTGCTCGATAAAATCATACAATAAGGGAACACTAAACAATCACATTTCTCATCCACATTGAACAGGCACCCCAGAAAATTAGAGAAAAACCTCTGTTTTCTTTTAAATATGTCTTGAGACATTTACTATTACCAGTGAATTTTTCCTGTAGAGAGTGTGTGTTCAGAGTGATATTTTGTGATAGTCATTTTGCCAAAGGATTATTTCTTCCTGTAAATAATGTAAAAGTAAGTAAAAATATAAATGTTTATAATGGAGAATAGCTTTAAGCTCTCTAGGTTCTATTTGTGCTTGTAGTGTTAGTCATTGATTTACTCAGAGAACCAATAGTCCTTGTTAGATATTTAATATGGATGATGGCATTTGCCTCTACTTCTAAGATAGGGTAGTTTTAAAAGTTCCCAGTATTCTTATTTGCTCCATTTTATTAAAAGTTGTTGTATGCTGAGGCAGCTTAGTGAAGCCTTAATAATTACCCTTAGAAAAATGATACGCTAGGGTTGAAAATTCTGCTCCTTAAAAGTCAGTTGAAAGCAGCAGTAAATTTTAAGCTACCTGTACGAGGGAAGTTGAACAAAGAGATGTGTGTGATCATCTAGAGAAAACAAAGCAAGGCAAAGCTTTAAATAATAATTCAAGACAATCTTTTGTGTGGAAGACAGGTCTACAGGACTGAAAAACACTTGCAGAAATACAATGAAAGGAAGAATGAGGTGACCTTGACTCTGGATCCACAGAGCCCTAAAGATGATTAGTAGCTTGTAGTAGCTGCAGCAAGTGTTACAGAATGACCAGTGCAAGAATTTGAAGCCAACACACTGTGGCTGGTGCGTGGTACACTGAGCAGGGAGAAAATAGGGAATAAATTATGAACATGCAAAGCGGGTGTGTGATCTGCTCAGCCAGTCCATGGCGACAGTAGTTTTGAATGAGACTCAGCTGTGTGTCCAGTTTCCAGCTGATAGGTCTGGAAGATCTTCCCAGGCCTGATGAGCTATAAAATGAGGACAAATGACTCAGCCCCAGGGCCCTGCTGACGCATCGTTGCGAGCACAGCCCGTTTCCAGGAATACTTGTGGGTGGAGAAACACATTCTTACGTGTGGTGTTTTCTTCTGTTGGTTCTTCTCAGCCCTGAAGAGACAGCTCTTTGCTTCACCTCACTCAGCCCTGAACAGAACCAGAGAGACACTCCTCCAACTCCTTGCCTAGAGAGCAGTGGTGATAGGCAAGGAGAAGTGCTGGGTTGTATGGGATTTGGGTGTGTGAGATGATAGGCTCACAGCCACTGGCCTCTGTCTCTGCACTGCAGCCTGGGCCCGTCTGCCGCTTGTCAAGTTGCCTGTTTATGATTAATCCGCTGCTTCCTCTCCCAACATCTCTGTTTACTTGAAATGCTCTGACCCTTTCTCCCCATCTGTCGGTACCCGTTACTCCTCCCAAATACTGTTAAAAATGTACCTCTTTTAGAAACATTAACAAGCTCCCACCTGCCTCCAATTTTTCCAGTACTTTATGATCGCCTGTAACGATGGCTTCTCACCCGAGTGACACATGCTTGCCTGCTGTGGCAGCACTGTGTTAGTGGAGTGCTCTGTCTCCCTTGAGAAGGGCTTGAGGTCAAGGTCAGCTCTCACTCCGAAAATCCCTGCCTAGTTTACTGCCCTGAGAAGAACGCACTGCCACTGCTCTATCACCACGGGCTCATTAGTTGGCCTCCAAGGTGGTGCAGGAAAAAAAACAAGGGGCAGTGCTTTGGTTCCCGCACTCAAGGAACTCCCATTTAGAGAGAGAATGCCTCATCTGGACACACACTCCTGCTTTCGGCAGATTGCTGTTGCCTGAGATGGAGGGGACCTGCCTGGCCCATCTCTCTGTTCCATGCTTCACCTGGCTCTGCTGTGGGCGCGCACAGTTCAGGCTGATGACTGGAGAGGCAGACATTGTATTCAGTTCCTCCTGCTGGGAAGGTGCTGCTCCTCCCTCACCGTGCCTGTGCTCTTCCGTGGCCGCTGTGCGTGCTTCCTTTGGGTCTTTGGCTGCCGTCGGGGTTTTAATGAGGTTCTCTGTGGCTTCTCTCTCCAAAATACAACACTCCTGGTTCTCCCTCTCATCGGATCCCTAAGTCCCCAAGCTGCCACTTGACATCATGCTTGGCTGAAGTACTAAGGCACAGTGTCAGAGTCAGAATTTTTAGTACTCTGTTCATGTAGTTATTTATTGTCTGTCTCTCCAGAATGAATTAAGCTTTTATGAGAGGGATGAATCTGTGTTTCTCCCACTTAGGACCTCATATAACTTAGAACATACTGAGCAAATGATTTGAGTTTGAGGGTTATATAAGAATGCACCAGTGTAGGATTTATAGTAGCATATTTCTAATAGTAAAATTTGTTTGATTTTGACATATTCATAAGCGTGATATGATACAACAGCAAGATATATGAACTAACAGTCAGCATAACATGGTGAACATTAGAGCTATAAAGTTAAGGAAGAAAATCAAGTGGCAGAAGAAGTTTGTACTTTGCTTCTGTTTGTGAATAGTTAAAAGGCATGCAGACCTAAATGCTGTCCTGTTTAGGTATGTGCATATACGTTGAAGAACTGAAAGTAAAGTACAAAGGTTAGCAATTATGGCTGTGATTGTAAAGAGGCATAGTTAAGGAGGGTTTTCTAAGGCTCTTCTGTGATGTGAGTAACATTCTTTCTCTTTAGTAGTGTGTTGTCATTTGTATTTAGATGTCCCCCCAAATCCTCATGTAGTTAGTCATAGGTGGGGCTTTTCAAAGGTGGCTGGACCTAGGGTGCATGATGCTGGGATCAAGGATGTGATGCTGGGATTGACTCCTGGTGCAGTGCTAGGATTAAGGGTGCCCCACCCTTGGTTTGAGTGCTGCTATTTTTCTTCAAATCGTATACATGCGTGTGTGTATACAGCTACTGTCCTTTATGTACTTCAAACCATATGCAGCTACTGTCCGTTGTGTATGTATGTGTTATATTCTTTAAGAACTTTTGATGATAGGGACACCAGAGAAGCAAAGGGAAGCCCTGTCCCTTTACAATGAAGGCTAGTTTCCTGGAGTAACAGGCCATAAAGCCACATAGAAATTTCCTATTAATCAGGAAAACATCAAGTAATGGGGTCTGAATGGAGTGGCTTAGCTGTTTTTCCAATATCCAGAAATTTCCTTAAATTCAGCTTTGGTGAATTTGAAGGTCATATCTGTCCTGAGACCTTTTCTGGTTCCTGAAGCTCTTATGGTGTTGTATTTAATGCTCGGATACTTTTGTTTATAGAGTGGATAGCTATACAACCATTTCCTGTTTTGTGTGATTTGGGCAATAGGGCCAAGATGAGCATGCATGCTTTTGATACTATCTAAGGCAGACTGGAGGGCAGAAGGGAAGGAATAGAGGATGAGTAGTTGCTTCAGATGAGAAATGATTGAAGCCGATGCTGCCCAGTGGTAGTAGCGGAGAACCGAGCACAAGGCCAAGTATGAAACCTAGAGCACCGCCTGTGTTTTGATGCCCAAGGGAAAGACAAAGAAGGAAGTGCGCTGAGTCCACAGCCAGGTGCTAACGAGTGTTCATTCTTGGCAGGGCAGGCGAACGATGATGCATTTCCATCTGATCACCTGTGCCTCATATGTGGGATTCAGGAAAAGTCTAAAAGTTGCTGAGAAAATGATTCTGCTGTTTGTTTCATTTACTGCATGACTGAGCTGTCATTTGTCTCCCTTTGAAAAGAGAAAATGATAATTTTCTGTGATTTAAATGCAGTCAGTTCTTTAAAAGTACCTGAAGATGCATGCTTGGCTCAGGCACTAAGGCAAAGTGTCAGAGTAAATCACTGGAAATTGAAGACATGATGGTCTGTGGGATGTGGCAAGTTACTGTCACAGCTACACTCTGTACAACAAGGGAGACTTTCCTGAAAGAAGTAAAGGACAATGTGATCCAGACAATGGTGTTTTTGAAATTTGGGCTTTTGTCATTTTATACCATGCGGGGATCCAATAGCAGAGCTGTGCTGCCAGCATGATTACCACTGGAATTCAGAAAACTTGGAGTACTTTGGCAGTATTTGAGTATATTTCTTTGTATCTGTGGAGAATTGTAGTTCTGTAGCTACTGTCCTTTATTCAGTGTTTGCCCTCTGTCAGGCACAGTGGAGAATAAATTTCCTTACTGCTACCCAGATCTTTCTAACTGAAAATAATGTATGGTGCTAAGGGTAAAAATGACAATGAAAATTGCAGGAGATTCTTTCTTAGTTTTTTTTCTGACACCGTCTTTCACTCATGTGAAGCTTGCATAAGTTATTTTTATTATCAGCTTCAGTTTACCAATAATATCTTTGACATCTGACGGAAATGAATTGCTGTTATCCAGACTTGCATGTTTTACCTTGAAATTTCTGTCTTTTCTTTAAAAACTGTCTTCCTTTCGAGTAGCTTCAGAAATCACTTTAATCTGTGTAATTTTCTAGCAGCTCTTTTCCATTATAGATAACTTAAAAATCAATAATCCTATGCTCTTTAAGAAACCAGCATGGACACATTTCATGAATGTCCTTAAAAATTCAAAATTAGTGGTTACTTGCTTGTTGGGTAAAAAGTAAATTCAAAGGAAGCTGTTTGTTCATTTTAGATAACTGTCAAAACGTCATATTTTTTGAGGGAATGGTTTTTGCATCAGGCATAGAAAAAGTAGTTAGGCATTCTCAGCTCCACTGACTTTTTTTAGAAATGGTAAAATGTGAAATATGAAGATAGAGAACAAGTTCTATAGAACAGTTTTCCATGAGCAGACCTTAAATTAATGTGGCTTCCGTAACTTTTCATGCCCACTGTGTTTAGATTTGGAAGGATCATTTCCACACTCAATAAATATATAGATATATTGCAATTTGATAATCTATTTCATTTCCTTATTTTTAATTAACTAATAAATGACTCAGAGTTGATTTTTAAAAACAAAGGTTTTTGCATTTGTGTGTGTATAGACACCTCTGGACCTGCACGCCTCCCTGAGGCTGTGGGTGACTGGCCTGGGCTCTCCGTGTATCTGCCCTTCCATAACCACACGCCACCAGGCCAAAGTCACACATGTAGTCTATGCTGCACATCCCCTAGGGCCTTTGGACTTGCTTAGATTGTTTTTCTCAAGCTGCTTCCCACGCATCCCTTGTATCTTACCTACTTTTCACTGTCCATTTCACATCCTTGGGGAGGCTTTTCCAGTTGTTTGCCCACTGAACACCTCCAATCCAATAATCCCAAATCCAAATGCACCCCCACCTGGAACTTCGTAAGCATTGGCATGACAGCCCAAGTGGAAAATTCCATTCCTGACCTTTTCTGATGCATCACAATCAAAATACAGATGCACCAAAACAGTGTATAAAAATTACCTTCAGGCTACCAGGGAAATATGAAACACAAAGAACTTTATGTTTAGACTTGAGCTCTCATCACATATATGCAAATATTCCAAAATAGAAAAAATTCCAAAATCTAAAACGGCTAGTGCCAAGCATCTCCAACAAGGATATTCATCCTGTATGAGCCGTCGCAATTTGTGCTTTTTCTCTTAGGACACTTTTAGTGGTATTATCAGGATGTCTTTGAGAGAGGGGGCTCTCTGTGTACCCTACATGCTCTAGTAGAGCAGTGCTCACCATAGGTGTTTTACACATGAGGAATAAAGACTGGAGCAGATAAATAAGTGCAGACCAATGTCCTGTGAACGTCTAAGCATCCTCATTAGCTGTGTGTCATGAGAAACTATGTGTAGGCAAAGCTGTGTGTCATGAGAAGCCATGTATGTGCATGTCATGAGAAGCAAACCAGACGTGGCCAGATTGTGGCAGCCTTATGGATCAGGTTGACTAAGGTGCAGTGGAGAAGTATTATTTTTCTGTTGAACCTGTTTTCTTAGCTGGGCATCCTTCAGTGAATTTTGTGTGTCATTAGGTGATGTTAAACAGCTCTGTTTACAGATGATCGGCTTGGTGGTCAGATGAAGGCTGGGTGACCAGTGGTGCTAAGTTATTTTGCTGGGGAACAGGAAGTTCTGGTGAGCTGTTGCACAGTAGGGTGACTATAGAAAACAACAATGTATTGCACATTTCAAAAAGCTACAAGGAAGGACTAGGAATGATTTCACTGTAAAGAAATGATCAATGTTTGAGAAGATAGGTCTGTTTAACCTGACTTAAACATTATGCATTTTATACTGTATCAAACTATCACATGACATCCCATCTAGATTAATATATGCTTCTGAATTTGAAGTCTAACTGAAAGCTAGAGTTCAAATTCAGATGCACGGAAATGTGGGTAAGAGGTTAGGAATCAAGGAATGAAAGTGCTGTTTTCTTTAAACATTAAAGTTAACTGAAAAGGCTAATTTATTTTCACTGGGGAAATTAAGTCAAGCTCTTAGGACTAGAAATGCTTTGTTTCCATGTTGCTGTGCAGTTCACTGACAGTACGTAATCCTTTTTCTCACCTGAGTAGTGGATCTCTTAGAGCTGAATACAACAAATGAAGTTTTCAAGCAGCACAAGCTGAACCAAAATGACCAGCTGTTAAGTGTCCCAGACATTATCAACTGCCTGACAACAACCTATGACGGGCTGGAGCAAATGCATAAGGACCTGGTCAACGTCCCGCTCTGTGTGGACATGTGTCTCAACTGGCTGCTCAATGTATACGACACGTGAGTTTTTTCCTTTAATTTACAATCACTGAATAAGACGTTAGTGATAGAAAATGCGGAGTGAACTTCTTAAAACATGCTTTTCCCACTGGAAATATGAAATTGTTGAAAATAAATGACTTTTCAAACCATAGGAACTCTTCATAAACAATAGAAGAAAAAAGAATATGCAAGTATTATTTTAAGGGTTTGCTTCACATGCCAAAGGCTTTCAGGTTTGTAGTATTATTTGTCAAGAAGCTAGAGAAATCTAACACAACCATTTCTTATTTTCTTTCCCTTATTCCTTAATGTCTTACACTATTTTTTTATTATTTTTATTTTTATTTTTATTTTTTTGGTCTCTTTAGGACAGGGTCTCGCTATGCAGGTCAGGCTGGCCTCAAACTCACTTTGTAGCTTAGGCTGGCTTCTAACTTGCAGTGATCCCCCTGCCTCAGCCTCCCAAGTGCTGGGATTATAGGCATGCACCACCACGCCTAGCACTATTGCCTTTTTTAAGAAGAAAAATTTTGTGTTTATCATTATGAGTTGAAATAATTTATGAGCTCATAATATTGTGCTCTTCAATTTTGGTGCAACAGATTAAGAGAGATTTGAATGGCAATGAATAAGATTTCATTTGTCTTTCAATATTAACTATATTTATTGCCATGATGGTTAATGTGTTCATATGGTATTTTAAATAATGTATGCTACAGGCCATCCTAGTATTTGCAATTGAATTAGGTGCTCCCTGTTATATAAAGAGCACTCTCAACTTCCAGCATAACTCATCTGCCTTTAATTTGGCCTTTACTATTATGACAACCTATTTGTGAACTAATCAGTTCTAGAAAGACTTGCCGTGGGCTGACATTTCTGAAACATTAGCAATTATTCATTCTTCTGGTAGAGTTTTAAAGTATGCAAAAATGAAATAAGAAAATTAGGACTGTTATTTTTCTCTAAGACTCTAAAAGATATTTTCTGTTAACTAGCTACAGTATATGAAAATTTGTATGTATCAGCCTTTTATTTAAAGAGAAAGAAAATAGATGATAGTTTATAAATGTTTACATATCTAGCAGTTGATTGGTTTTGTATAAGAAATAAATGATGATAGCTTTAGAGATGTTTTGTCTAAAATTTTACTCTCGCATTAAAAAAATCTTTTCTGTTATAATGTTTACAAATATTATGAAGTCTTTTTTAAAATAATAAAATGGCAATTGTGTACTAGAGGGCCCCTGAGAAACTCAATGAAGTGTGAATCTTTGTTACCATGATGAATATGGTGGCATTTACTACATTTCTGTCAGGTATCATTTCATGCATTTCACTTTAATACAGATTTTTATTCTAGAATAAAATATTACTATTAGCATTAACCCATCATTAATTTGCTCCCTATTTTTTAAAACCTCAAGGGAGACAGTTTCTGTAGTAAATTTAGCAAAATAGCTGGTCGATTAAGCATTTTAACTGCAAATGTTTATTGCTAAATTCATAGAGTAGTAGGAACTTCACACAGCCCTCTGGAGTATTCTATGGCTGCAACAACAAAGTACAGTAGACTGATGGCTTAAACAACATCGTGCGTATCCTCGCCGTGCTGTAGGGTAAAGTCTGAGCTCAAGGCATCAACATTCTTGCCTTTTCTTTCTGAGGCCTCTCCCCTCGGCTGTCTTTTCTTTCAGTGTACACATGGTCTTCTGGGTTAGTTCATTTCCCCTTCCTATAAGGACGCTACTCATTTTGGATTAGAGCCTACCCTACTGACTTCATCTTAACTTCATTATGTCATAAAGCCCTAGTCTTCTGATACAGTCACCTTCTGTAGTATGAGGAGTTAGGATTTCGGCATGTGAATTTTAGAGGAACACAGCTCACAACCCATATATACACTGAATTCTCTGGATAGCCCAAGGGAATAGTGCCACTTAGTTGAGATGGAAGCAGCATGTGAAAAGTGATGGTATTCTAGGGGGTTAATGTTGGCATAGGTCCACTTCCCACCATCAGATATGAGCACATGGAAATGCTGCCCTAAAGTACTTGTCTTTATTTAAAAAGACATTATCATGAAATTTCTCATTTCCCATTTTATTTATTTATTTATTTATTTATTTATTTATTTTTGGTACCAGGAATCGAACTCATGACCTCAGGCTTGCCAGGCAAGCTCTTATGCCACTGAGCTATATCCCCAGCCCCTTACATTTCCCATTTTAAAGGGAGAGAAAGCCTGCTGGACTTACATTCACACACAGAAATACAGTGAAGACCGTGATGAGTAAGAATGGTGCCCACTTGGTCTAGCCTTTTATCTCAGAGAGAAGTGTAGTGGACTAACTTAAGGAAAAGCACAGTTACTCTTAGGGTGGTAATCACGGATGTCCAGAGTTGCTTGCTCAAATTTTTCTCCTATGACTTATTCATTTATCTAAACAGTAGTTACTAAGGTTTTGCAAGCTGAACTTCTCTTTGAGAATATGATAGAATCTATAATATTCTCCTCCCAGTGTACCAGGACATGACAGACCCTTGAGCTGTTTCTCAACCATAGAGATAACAGCTTCATTCAGCTACTGTAACATTCATTCATTAGTTATGTTGCTCAGCTTTCTATCATGATAACAAGTACCTAAAATAACCAAACATGCAAAAAAAGGGTGGGGTGGCGGTTCATTTCAACTCGCAGCTGTGTAGGTTTCAGCCCAGGACCAGTTGAGCCCATTGCTTTCTGTGGAGTGGCACATCATGGTAGCAGAACAAAACCACTCACCGTGTGGCCAGGAAGTGGGAGAGAAAGCAGAGACCAGGTTCCACGTTCTTCTGAAAGGGCACACACCCAAAACTCAGAAACCTCCCACTAGTGTGCATTAAGAGCCAAGCTTGAAACACATGGACCTTTGAGCAAGAGTCCAGATCCAAGCTATAGCACTAATCCTATATTCTGACTGCCACGTTTTGTGTAGTACAACACAAACTTGATAAGTGTTGTCAAAAGCAACTAGCTCTTGAAATAATGAGTGTTATAAACGTAGTAGACCATAAAATCCCATAAGTAGAAGAACTTTGGGGATCTCTGTATTTTACTGATTGAAAACTGGTAGAGAGATAAGGCCATTTATTCAGAGCCACTTTTTAAATATGAAAGTTATGGACTTCATATTCAAATATTTTTGGCAGTCACTTTGTTATTCTCTTACCATAATCTCCATATCTAGAAAAAAATGGTACTTCTTACATTATTTTAAGTAAACTATCACGTTTTTATATGTACCCAGTTTGTGCTTACGTTCGGAATTTTGAAAACAGAATCCATTTTTATGTATTGCAGATGACAAGAATTTAGATTCCTGGTTCAGATTGCTATGTGACTTGGCAACCACTTAACTTTGGCATTTCAGTGCCTCATCTAAAAACTTGAGATAAAAATATCTGCTCAGTTTATCACACAAAAGGTTGTGAAGGGCAAATGAAGTAATGTATGCAAAATGGTCTTTATAAGCCGTAAAGATAAAATTGATCCCATTTATGCATTCATAGACTCAGCCAGCCTTCACCTTCTCAGATTAAAAAGTCTTATTTCACAATCTCCCTTCTAGATTTAGTGGAAATCAAGAGCATTTAAATCATGATTTAAAGGAATAGTCTGGAACATATTTTTTTTTTACCTGTGGAGAATATTAGTCTCGTATGTTGCAGTGTTAATTCATTTTTTCCAATATTGCAAGATGGTTATAATCTTCAAGATACTTAACTTACAAGTTCAACTAGTTTCAGTAGTTACTTATGAAAACTATCAGGGGAACCAAATACTTACATGTTGGGCTATGTCGTTTACTTAAATATTATTGGCTCCCTACTGTCTCTCAAATCTAAATATCTTTTTCTTAGTGCATTGTTTGTGATAGAGAATAATTACATTTATCTTGAGGAATTGGTACATTTGTATATCACATCTTGATCATTTTTCCCATCAGAACTTCAATGGTATGGCCTAACCTTAATCTGATTGTTGTATAACTGGTGATCACACTCTACTTGTCTCCTTGCTCAGGCTTTTCCTGTTACATTCTCTATAGTTGAGTGAGTCATTACATGTCTGATTTTAGACCTATATTCTCTAGCAAATGTTTTGAAACTTAGGCCTATTTACACTGATCCCTGACGACTGCAGGCGCAATGATCTTGTACTTGGTTCTACATTTTCATATATAGAGATTGATCATGTTTTCTCTAGTTGTTCTGTTGTCTTACCTCCCCAACTAGTACATGAGCCTATCTTGGGTAAGAAATTCTTCTGTTTTTTTTCTTGGTCCCTACAGTACATAGAGCAGTGCTGGAATCACTGTAAGCCTTTACAGTTGTTCATGGTGGATGAAGGGATGATTGACATTTTCAGTTGTCTTTCTGATCATGTTTCTGTCTTATGTTGTCAAGACGGACTGGAGGTCATGCTCTCATGTGTATCATTTTGATCATTTTTCCCTCAAGGGATTGCTTTGTTCTTAGGTGCATTCATGTACTAGTCTCAGACTATTCAATACACTTTTGTTATTTCTGCAAGTCTATTATCTATAGGCAGAGAATGAAAACTTCTGATTTCAAAGGAAGAAAATAGACATTGTCTGTTTTCATGTGATAATTAGGAAACTCCTAAAAAATACTAAGTAGAAATGCAATTTATAACCTGGCTCAGTTAAGGGTTAATTCAAAACTGGCATTGCTTTAGTTGTGACATGTTATTTTAATGTAGAAATTCTGCTATATTTCAGTATTATCTCATAAGTCAATTCTGAATATTATACATATGCACAGTAAGGGTTCAATAAGTTGCTTGGATGTGATTGAACATAATTATAAATTCTGTGTTGTTAAACGATTTTGATATTTTACCAACCTCTGAGCATGCTTTCTTTTTAAATTTATTTTATACATTATATGGCATGGTATGTATACAAAAAGTTGCTTCAGTATAATTTGTGTGGAAGAATATTAGTATTACTGCAGAAATACTAGGAAGATTTTCAATATAATTTGACAGTAAGACTACTTAAAATCATTGTTATATGATAAGATTTTATAATAATGTGAATTACTAAACATTAGGCATATATCATGTAAACTTTTAGTCATACATTTTAAGTATACTATTCTTGTACATTGAACACTTAAGAAAATTAGTAACAAAAACCTCAACTAAAAACTGCTCCCAACTCTGAAATAACAAAGATGACAATAAAGATTTTTTTCATGTTATTCCATTGGAAGGATCATGTATTTAATACTGTGGCCAACATTGGTAGACAACTTATTAATTCTTTGATTAAGCATTGGAATAAAGACAGCTTTCCACTTTTGCAGACAAAATCAAATTTTCCTTCTAGTCAACTTACAAGTGAAGATGAAATGATCTCTGACTGGCATAGACTGAAACTATTTCCTACTGTTGATGAGTTAATTCATTGTTTTTAGGTATAGCTTGATAATTGCCCAAATTATCAAGACCTCACACCTGTCTATTTAAGAGCATTGATTATTAAAATTGCCGTAGGAGTTTATAAAGACTGCATTGACAGAAAACAAAGTAAATGAAGACCATAAAGTTTTAGGTATTCGTCAAGTTCAAAGTCTTCAGTATATTTTTAATTTTCTAGTCAGTTTCTTTACATTTGTTTTTCGATCTATCAGTACATAGCCCTTTCTGACTGCACTGTTACATGCATATTTCGGTAACTTTAGACACTTCCTGTATTTATAATTATTAACAAATTTTAATTCCTAATGAGATCTTAGCTTTATAGTTACTGTTTTCATATTGCTTTAATTTGTTCTCCTTAGTTTCTGTGTTGTGTATATAGCGAAGAGTTGATCAAACCACTGTTAAATTATGTCATGAAGTTTTAGTATGGGTTTAATAATAATAAAAAGTAAGTAGGAAGCTTGTTGAAGATACAATTTTTAAATGGTTTACTGTCATGAAAATACTTGGGCAAGAATTAGAATGCTGCATAGAGTTTTAAATGCATCTCACACATTGAGATTCTCATCTTTTCAGGGGTCGGACTGGGAAAATTCGAGTGCAGAGTCTGAAGATTGGATTGATGTCCCTCTCTAAAGGTCTCTTAGAAGAAAAATACAGATGTATGTAAGACTTTCCATGTATCAAGTGTTTTTAGTAATAATCTGTGTAACAATTGAGAACTTACTTTCTGTGATTTTTCTAACAATAACAGTTCCCATTTTTAAGTTTTTACTGTGCATGGACCAGGTTGGACAAAGCTGACAGTGCAGAGTGTGGGATTTTTGTGAAAGCAAAGACTGATTATACGACCACCACATGCAGTGTCTTGATGGAGTGAAAACTAGTTACAAATTTTTATCTCATTTAATTTTTAGAATCATCTCTGTAAAATGTAGGCATAATGATTTCCATTTTCCAGTTGAAGAAAATAAAGCCGACATTGGTTAAAAACCTAGTTCATAGCTGCAGTGCCCAGTAAGTTGTAGAACTAGATCCTAGGTTTTTCTGACTCCAAAGCTCAAGTTTTCCAATGGTATATGTCTAGTGCTTAAAAAAAATGCAAGTTGAGATGGACTAGGCCTTTCAGGGACATAATCAAATCATATTTCCAAATAATTATATTGTATAGTTGCGACAAAACAGACAAATTGTTATATTATGTTTGTTTATAGTTACCAAATAAATCAGTGTCCCTTTAGCTGTCAGTTGATGAGAAGCATCTTGGTATTGGGAAGGGCATGGCTCTCAGAATCCAGGAGATTTGCCTTAAATCTTTAGCACTTAGTGGCTGAGAATCTTTGGGCAGGTGACTTGATCCCAGAAGGTCACATCACACCTGTCTCACAGTACAGGAAGCTCAAGTTTAATGAATGTAATTCAACTTGAAAATTAAGCTAATAATTTTTGCTTGGAAAGGAATTGGAGATAGTACATGTTGAAATTTCCTACAAATAGTAGTTACTGCATAAAGGGTAGCAATTGCTGCAGTGTGTCCAAGTTTTTAACTACTATCTCTTTTGATTTGATTTTTTTCCATAAAGTGTGAGCACCTTGTGTGTTCCATATAGATAAATCTATGCATTGGAAAGAGAGGGTGAGGGGTATTTTATGAATGGAGAGATATCAAAAGCAAGAGGAGGGGTGCGAGGTGTAGGTCAGTGATGAAACAGTGATAGATGGTGTGCACAAGGCCCTGGACTCTGTACCCACCACCAAGAAAATAAACAGGCAAAAACCGTGAGTCAAACCCAGCAAAACAATCATATCAATAACAACAGCAAAAGAGAACATTTGATTCTAAGCACTAAATACATGGCTACATTTTCTAGCTTATGGGAATATATGTATCTTTTAAAACCTTTTATTTTCTGGGATCCCTAAAAAAAAGAGAGGTTATTTGATTTTGAATTTGAGGTCTAGAAGATGATGGCTTGCTTTTCATACGTAGTTTGAGAAGAATATCAGTGAAGAGAGATACAGATGTATACAAAAAGAAAAGCTGATTATAGCATCAGGAAGTGAGGGACATTGTTGGAGTGATAGCCCGCTAAGCGGTATAGAAAAACCTGTATATAAAACTTTGCTTTTGTGGAATTTTATCCAAAATTTAGTTTTTCTTCAGCATCATAATCATGAAAAGGTGTACTTTTCAATGCTAAAAAGTGATCATTTCTATAATGACTGTGAAAAGAACATGTTAATGAAAGCATCAGTGTTCTAAAACTAGAAAGGGATTTTTTAAAATTATCTATGATTTGGGATTCTCATGTAATCCTGAAAGAATTAGGGTGCTTTGAAGGCAGTTACACCATGGTGCTGAATGTGCACTGAAATGAACGCAACTTCAAACTCAAAGCTTACATTTTCTATAATTCAGCATCAAATATTCAAATTTTGGCAGGAGGAGCAAAAGCCCCTGCAAAGAAAATCTCTGCTACTTAATTTAATCCATGGTGTATGCCATTTTAAGATTTAATTAAGAAACCTCTTAGGCTGCTGTTATTAATCTAAATCTTTACTGGGACATTGAGACTCTGGAAATGTTCTGAGGTTTTGTTTTTTTCTTTTTCACTGAAGTTCTTAGCAAATCTGATTCTATTTGTGATTTCCCTAGTGATCTAAGAACATTTCTTCATTATTATTTTCTTTGTTAAAGTTAACATTCAAGATCATTTGCCCTTCCAACTTAATGGTAGAGGTGGCATTTGAGGTCAGTTGGTATCCATTGGAACATTGAGTTTTCTAATGGCCAAGGTCAATGTCTTCCCCCATTTCCCCTTGCTCTCGCTGGTGCCGTCCTGAGAATACTCTGCATTAAGTTCCCACAGTCCCTTTGCCTTCCCCTTGCTTACAGCTGAGTGGCTTCCCAGCCACACCCAAAGCACAGTTACAAAGCATTCTTTTGAATGGCGATGTACATCTCCTCTGTCCTCATTTATTGGGATTTGGGTTTTAGATTGTGGCCTTCTCTGCATGGCCTGTTATTCCCACATCCTGACATTGCTATTAGTTGCTCACTGTAACATTAAAATTGGGAACTTTTATAAGAATTCAGAAGTATATTACAATGTTTAAAAGCACTTTTTACATTTTGTAAATAGTCTACCTCCATAATGCCTTCCCAGCAGGGCTATCTGCCTCAAAAGAGGAAAGATGAGCATGATTGATATTGCCGAAAATGCACACCTCTGTAAAGATTGCGCTCAATGATCAGCTCTAAATTTACTGAGTAAATGTCTTCCTAGAAACAGGTTTAAATTAAGCATCATAAAATCCTGGAATACTATTTTTGGGCTGTGGTAGTCTTTATTTTTAAGTAACGAAAAGAAACAAGTGGAGCTCTAAGCAAATCTAAGTGAAAAAATGATAATAAAAATTAAATTTATCTTAATTGAATTTGCTTTTCCTGCATATGCTTATAATTAAAGCCATGTTTCATTATAATTACCATGCCAATAACATTGAGCTTGGTTCAGCTATTGGAAAATTCACTACTGACAATGTTGGACCAAATATCATTACCCTTTAAGACAGTTACATATTTTGATGTGATACTTATTTATTAGGCATTATTTGAAAATATTTTTTTTTTAGAATCCATAAATAGTTACTTCTCTTTCTTATATTCTTGAAAAGTATCTCATGAAGAACATTGAGATTGAGGGTGCTTATGAATTTTTAGAACTTGAAAATTCCTCGTAAAAAGTTTTAATTTCTATGGTGAAGAAATTTCATTTGAAATGTGTCCCTTACAGAAAAACTTACCTTAGTACATTACTTTTCATTGGGGGAATACTGTAATAATTTTAATGTTTGAGACACTGCCACAGTGAGTGGATTAGCCAGTACTGGGAAGAAATTTGAACTTTATTGTTTTAAGAAGAGTAGAAAACAGATCAGTGTTGTTGTGTTTTGTTAGTGAATGGAAAAGCTGAAGAGTGAAAGGGTGCACAAAGTTTTGAGTCTTTTAAATCTGAAAAATGTGTTTCATTACCTGAAGTAAAGCAAAACTAATCTTTACAGTTGGTAAGGAATGAGAGATTGGCATTAGAAGGGAAAAGCACACCTCTTTATACCTTTTAGTATTTCCTGTATAAAATAGTTTTGAGCACAGAAATCTTTAAAAGAAGCTAACGTATACATTTAATAGTATCTTGAATTTGGGAGTGAACCCAAGAATTTGGTAAGCACATCATGAAAATGTAAAGGTTTGCTATTTAAGTTGCATGTACTACTTTGGTAAGTCAGGAAGGAAGCTTTATTTTGGCTCATTCTGCTTCCTAAGCAGAACCCTTTTTGAGATCATAGAATTAACCCATGTGCATTTCTTGCACTATTTAAAAGGGAAATTTGTGTTCATCGATGAATTGATGTGTTTCGGTGTACATTATTTTAAGGGGCTTTGATGAACAAGTTAGCTACTAAGGACACACAGAACATGAAGCTCGTCATGGTTCAGGAGAACAGCTAATTAGATTCACATCGCCTACGGGCTGGGGATTTAGCTTAGTGGCACAGCGCCTGCCTGGCAAGTGCAAGGTCATGAGTTCGATTCCCAGTACTGGAGAAAAACAAAACGAAACAAAAAAGATTCACGTCCCCTAAATTTTTAAAACTTTTTTATTTTGATTAGTATGTTTGCAGTGCCTCCCCACATCCTGGGGAGTTGGTCCCATGCATGTAACCCACCTTTGTTCTTTCTGCTTTCCCTTCTCCTCCCACTCTTCCTCTCCCCTCCCCCTCCATCTCTGGGTCCCCTTCGCATTTGCAAAAGATCTGTCTCTGTTTCCTAGTATTTATCTTTTTTTTGCTCTAGAATTCATTTGTGCTTTGGGTTTCTTATGAATTTTTTCATTTAATCTACATAGTTCAGTCCATGTACTTGAAGTTAAAGGATGCTTGGACAGGTGGAAATTCACCCCTTGCTGGTCCACTTGTAGATCTCTTTAATGAAGTGGCGGGGCCTACGGAGATGTGCGACCAGCGGCAGCTCGGCCTGTTACTCCACGATGCCATCCAGATTCCTCGGCAGCTGGGAGAGGTAGCAGCTTTTGGAGGCAGCAACATTGAGCCCAGCGTCCGCAGCTGCTTTCAACAGGTAAACAGAAGGATTGCAGGTACACAAGGGGAGCTGGGGAAGGGCTTTGAGAGGTTTCTGAGAACTGGAACTGGGAGCCTACCCTGCACCCAAATAATGCAAGACTTTGAGAACCATGCCAGTAAGTTCGTTTCTGAAGGCACATTTGATTCAAAGAATAGTGAGGCCAGCAAAGGTACTATCGTGTTCGTGAGACACAGTGGAAATCGGATCACGGTGCATATTCCTTCCATTGCCCTGTCCTCATCTCACCACCTGTCTCTTGCTGTCTACTTCTGTGCACGTTCGTTCACTTCGTTGATCCCTGTCTTGGTGCTCTTGGGCCTGTCCCCTCTGTTTAGACTGCTCGTCTGTCCCTTCTGCACACGAGCTCCCATCTCCTCACTCATGCAATTCAGCCTTCCGATGGCAGCTTGATTTTCAAATCCTCTGGAAATCCTTCTCCGCCCTCTTCAGATATGTTTCCCCACTGCATTCACCTTACTGTCTTATACCTCTTCTTTCTCATGCTCATTACAGCTGAAGCTTCATTGTGAACTGTACAATTAGTTGTTTAGTGCTTGCTTTTTCCATATGTACCCAAGCTCCATGAAGATAAGAACTGTGTCTGCCTTTTACTGTTATATCCTGTCGTAGTCCCCTCAGGTTGCTATAACAAAATGCCATAAACTGGGTGGCTTATAAACAACAGAAGTTTACTTCTCAGTTTGGAGGTTGGGAAGACCAAGATAAAGGTGTTAGTAGATTTAGTACCTGGTGAAGACCTGCTTTCTGGTTTATAGATAGCATTTCCCTAGTGTGCTCTCCCTTGGTGGAAGTGAAGTGAGCTTCCTTGGTCCTCTTTTAAAAGGGCACTAATCTCATATCTGAGGGTTTCACTCTCAAGATCTAATTGCCTAGAAAAGGCCATACACTCCAGTACCGTGCCCTCAGGGGTTAGTTGTCAATGTATCAATTCAGAGAGACATTAAACACTCAGACTGTCACATATCCTTGTTCATAATTCTTTGAACATAATAGCTACTTTGTCAGTACTTGCTAACTAGGTGAATAATGTGTCCTGAAGTTCCTTGTAGGCAAGATTTTTTAAAATACAAATTTTAAAAGATAACTATTGAAATATCATTGTCTTCTTTGAGAGTATATGTACAAATGGAAAATGATGTGCTCAGTTTTGTATTGATCAAACTAACTAATTTTCACCTGGGAAAGCACTTCTGTTTCCTTTTAATGCTTACTGTGTATAAAGACACTTTAGAAATGTTACTAATGTTACATACATGCATAAAGTACAATCCTACACATACTTTGCAAAAATATAGCCAATGATTTATCACCACTGAGGAAAAAAACAATGTTAACATTCTCTCTTCGAGGAAAATCCATGTCATGGGTTACTACATTTTATAATGGCCCTTTCTCTTATTTTAAAAATAAAAAAATACCAAATGACTTTTCTAAATGTGATTTGCAGTCACATGCTGGTTCATAGAATGACCTCAACAACAGAGGAGATGATGCTGGTGAAATTTAACTTTGCACATATAAATAGTCCTTAATATTAGGATTTGAAGAGGGACTGAGAAATTTTATGCAATTTATCATGATAAATTTGGAAATACCATAAAATGCATTTGTAGCAATAGTCCTCCAATCTGAGGATGACTAGATTAGGACACATTACATTGTGAATGGCCTTCAAGTTTGTGAGGTTATCAGTAGTGTTTATGTCTCAAATTCTTACCATTTGTGTTAGTCACCTTTCCCTTCCTGGGACACAATGCCTAACATACACAACTTGAAAGAGGAAGGTTTATTTTGGCTCAGGGATTCAGAGGCTTCAGTCCAAGGTCAGCTGACTGCAAAACAGAATGGTGGAAGGGCATGGTGGAGGAAAGTTGCTCTCCTCATGGCAACTAGGAAGTGCAGTCCAGGAAACGAACCAAAGAGAGAGTAAAGGGCTGGGGACATTATTGTACCCTTCAGGTTACACCGCCCAGTGACCACCTGCCTCCGGTCAGACCATATTCATATAGCACATTCAGCTACGGACTCATCAATGGATTAATCCATTGATGAGGCTGATGCCCCATGATCTAATTGCATTCCAAAATCCCCACCTCTGAGTCTTTTGAGGGACTTTTTTGACCCAAACCATAACATTGTCTAAGAAAAATGAACTTTGTAGAATTAAAAGCATTTATTTGAAAAGATTACCTAGAAATGTGTGGCTTTGGTTTTGCCTTTGGTTTTTCAAAACTAAATAAGATATTGGGAATTTTTTTTTTCTTTTTACTATGTAACAGTTTCTGCTTCATCTATTTTTAAATTCTGGAATTTTCTTATCTTGAAGAACCTTAAAACTTTTGGGACTTCCCTGGCCTGGAGTGACATAACTTTGCTCTTAATTCCGCACAGATGCCCAAAAGAGTATGAAGCAACAACACTGGCTGCAGCTTCAGTGAAACAAAGTTTTCACTTTTAGTATATTTGTTTCCTTTTCTTATTTTAAAGAGAATAGTAAAAAAAAAAAAAAAAGAACAATAGCTAAATACAAACAAAACAAAGCAAGGACATTAAAAATTATATGGGGTTTCAAACCAAATGATAGGGACTAACAGTGGTTGTTATAGTACACATTGTTGTGTTCAACAAAGTTGCTCAGATTACCAGATGTAAGAATAGAAGATTGATCAAATCATTAAAGGGAATAAGAAAATAATAATTTTGAAGAACATTAGAGACAATGTATAGTTTCACTAGACAGGATTGTAGGAATTCACCAGTGGTTGTTATACTGCAAATTGTTGTCTTCACATAAGTTGCTCAGATTACCAGATATAAGCCTGTGGGCTGGGGATTTAGCTCAGCGGCACAGCGCCTGCCTGGCATGCACAAGGTCGTGAGTTCGATTCCCGGTACCGGATAAAACAAAACAAAACAAAACAAAAAAGCATGCAAAATTGGTCAAAATATAAAAAAAAATTAATCATCAACTGTTCCCCCAATAAACCACCAGACATCAGCTGTACAGTTATGCCAGTTATTTATATATATGTACACACACACATATATATAGTGCCTTAATACTTTCTTTTTCTTCTTTCCCCCATCCCAGTTGTTCCTTCCTTTGAGCAATTTCTTTCTCTTTCATATTATCTATTGTACATTTTGGGTTTTATTTACTCTTTCATGTTCTTACACTAGGGAGACAATACGATGTTTACACATGTGGGTCCGATTTATTTCACTTATGAGTATGGTCTTTAGCTGCATCCATTTACCAATAAAAGCCTTGAGTTACCTTTTTTATAGCTGAGTAATACTCCATTGTATAAAAATGCCACATCTTTTTTATCCATTCCTCAGTGGATGGGCATCTGGGTTGTTTCCAAGACTTAGCAATGACAGATTGCACTGCTATGAACATGGGTGCACATATATCACTGTGGTATGATGTTTGTTTCTTTACCAGAATAACAACAAGCCAGAGATAAGTGTGAAAGAGTTTATAGATTGGATGCGTTTGGAACCACAGTCTATGGTTTGGCTACCAGTTCTGCATCGAGTAGCAGCAGCTGAGACTGCAAAACATCAGGCCAAGTGCAACATATGCAAAGAATGTCCCATCGTGGGGTTCAGGTGAGACGCACTGCTGCTGGTGGCAGTGGACTGTTCTGTGTTCTGTTTGTGTCCTCTCCGTGTGTGTTCATCATCCATCCCTAGTTAGTCCTAGTTTAGGTTTTGCCTCCTAACTCCATGGGATGCTCCTCCTATTCTATTTGTGTAATAAGGGCGTTCCTTCATATAACCACTACATTTACTTATTTTATTATTGCTATCATTATCACATTGTTATTATTCTACTGTGGATCAGAAGCAGAGATTTTTATGAATTTCTCTTCACCTAGGTCACCAAAATGTTCATGTGGGAAAATTGCATGATGTTATAATCATGTAGTCTTGATGGAATTTGTTGGATGTTCTGAGGTCTTTGGAATTAAGTTTAGTAAACAAGAACCACTATTTAAATACTGTGCAAGCAGTATTTAAATATTATGTGTGGTGTATGTAGATACTACTTTTTTTCAAAAGTTTTGTAAATACTGCTGGAATTTTTCACTAATTTTAATGTAATTTTAGATTTACAAGATGTTTGCTAAACTGAGAATTGTTTCAAATAGAATTGCAGACAACTGCTTACTAGTAGCATACATAAGTGAGAAGTATATTTTCCTTTCATGTGATCAAAGTTCAAAGTAGGCAGTCTAAGACTGTTGTCGTTGCTCCACGGTCACCTGGATCCCTAGCTCTATCTTTATGCTCTATCAGCCCTAAAATATGACTTCCATTTTTCACTGTCACTTCACTCTACAATGACTTTTCTAGACGCTGGTCCATTTCCAGGAAGGAAGGGGAAGGAGCTCTGCTTTTCCAAACTGAGTCCGTCCCTTGCAGTCCCAACTAAAACCCCATCCAGAGACTTCAACATGTACTGCACTACTGCTGTCAGCAAGAAAGACTGAGGAACACTGTTAGCAGATCGCACTGCTAAAGTGTGCTGGCACTATAGGAGTGTCTTACTAGTCAAGGAAGAGCGTAGCTATCTGTAGTAAACACAGCCCCACTTGGGGGAGGAAATGTCTGTCATACCTATAGCACCATGCTGATAGGTCAAGACTTATTGTTAATACAGGTGATATTTCAACCAGGCAGTTGCTTGTCAAAGTAAGCTGCCTATACTGTAGACAGATTGATTTTCTTCAGATCAACTTGAAAGATTTTGCAAATCACTTAGAAGCTACTCAGCACTTAATTCTTTGTAATAGTTTATTTCCATCTTCAGTGCTATCATTTAATTTTTTTTCTAGCAATATGGATATAATTTATGTTCTTAGTTCCACCAGCCATGCAACCAAAATGAAAGATTTGGGGGATGTTTTTCACTCAGATCCACAGAAATTTAGTACTTGGAGTTTCACTTCCCTAAATAAGATGCAAATAGAAGTCAGTGTACAGTTTAATTCTTACGCATAAGTCTTAAAAACTGTTTCAAGAATACATGGAGATCAAGATTTTCTTTCATTTGCTATTTGTCATAAGGTATTTCTTGCTTTATAGTTTTTCTTTTTTTGAATGACTAGTTTAAACCCAGTATAAAAATGCTCATTCTAAAAAATAATGCCTTTGTGAAGAAATTGTAGGACCCATTTCTTATTAATGATTTAATTGATGTTTTAAATTTTGATATGTCAATCAGATTATCACAACTCTTTTGTTACCTCTCATTTACTATTTATATTCAGACATCACAGGAAATCATCTGACATGGATATTTGTCTACTCCTCATGTCTAAACAGATGGAAACATGTTTCCAGGATTTAAATTCTGAAAACTTACTTTCAAGTTCTGTTGGAAAGGTGGTTTTTTCCTCTGTCCTAATTTGAACCTGAAATACTAAGCAAATTCAGTTTTTATGACAAATGTACCTTTTATTTCCTTGGTGATTTGGGTGAATAAAATTCTATATACCTAAAGATCCATTTGGACTAATTAATAAGAATACAAGTCAATAAATTTTCTTTTCTCTAGATACCGGAGCCTAAAGCATTTTAACTACGATGTCTGTCAGAGCTGCTTTTTTTCGGGTCGAACAGCAAAAGGCCATAAATTACATTACCCAATGGTGGAATATTGCATACCTGTGAGTACTGAACTTATTTTTTTAAATACGTATTTACTTTTGAATCCACGTGTGTCTAAACTTTTACTCAGTTTATTCACTTAATTATTTTTAAAAACCTCTTTCCAGATTGCTTAACCCTATTTTTTTGATGTTTTGATTCCCATAAACATATCTACTACAATGAATTAATTAATGGAGTAAAATTAAACCTCTCATAGAAAACCTTAATTTGTTAACTTTTTTGTCTCTGTTTTGATTTTAAACTTAAAATTTTTAGAAGTTTTTTTAAGAATTCACAATGACCTACACTGAAAATGAAGTTTAGTGATGAAAAACAATGTACTTTTAGACATACTGAAAATGTTTCCATTATTAAATACTGTATTACATTAGCAAAAAGGTGGAAAATGAAGAAATTAAACATATTCATAGATGTTACCCCTGAATAAACTGCCTACTAGTGCTTTTCTGTGCTCTGATTTTGTTTTTACTTTTACATTTATGGATTTCTGATCCTGATTATTTCATTTGACATTGAATGTGGTAACTGGTACCCATCTTGTCATGCAGCATAATTTTTCTTTGGTAGAAAATCTTTGAGTGAATTGTTATAATTTGCCTAACCCATCCCTCAAATTTGGACATTTATTTATTTTCAATTTCCTGATATTATAAAATGCCACTTACACATATCTTTGTGAAAAGATTTATTTTGAAGATAGAACTTTCCATATATTACATAAATTACATTTCTATTTAATAAGGCAGTACAAGTAGGTGGTGTCAGATAATAAATATGAATATTTATATGGTCAAAATACTTGATGCCAATTTATTTTCCAAAAGTCACCTGTCTTTTCTTACACTCTGGTCACAAAGGTTAACGTACCCCTCTAGCATTGGAGACTGGTTGTTGTTGTTCCTGTGATCTAAAGCTTTTTTTTTTCTGAAATTATCCTCATTTTCTGTCAACAGCTATTCTTTATCTTCCAAATTATGCTAAGATTTATCCAGAGAGTTGCACATTTTCTTTGGCTTAGGGAATTAAGTTATTTTTTGGATCATAAATTTAATGGAAAGGCAGCAATACTTTTAAAATACACACATACCTCAGCTGGGTGTGGTGGTGTACTCCTGTAATCCCAGCACTTGGGAGGCTGAGACAGGAGGATTACCTGAATTTTAAGGCCAGCCTGTGCTACACAGCAAGATCTAGCTATAGATATAGATATATACATATATACACACATAATTCTTAGTATCTTTTTCCCAATAGGGACTCTGTGTAGCAGAAATTGCTAGAAAATGTTATAGAATTATAATGGATGAAATACTCATGATTCTTCACTTTAGCCAACCTTCTATGACAGGTTATGATGCATCAGTAACTTTTTTATTCACCAAAATTAGTACTCCACATTCACTGTGAGGTACTTTTATGGCACTGAAGTAAGGACAGATTTTAGTCAATGATACATGGTTTTATATGTGAGTTCGTGTGTGTGTGTGTGTGTGTGTGCGCGCGCACACGCATGCACATGCACACTCTGTACACTTTGATTTGTGCAGAGGCAACTGGGTATGTGAATGGGGGAGTAAAGGAGTAGAGAGGGAGACAGCACAACCAGAGCTGAGCACCCGGAGAAGTGAAAACCAACAGGCTGTGGCCTGTGTGAATGTCCTGAGGCCACCTGCGTCTTGAACCAGACACCGTTGAGTTAGGCTTCTGCCCTTGGATGGAGACTGGGCGGTGGAAGCCCTGTTCTTTTTTCTGATTACATTTTAAGAAAATGGCTTTCAGTCCCTTGAGAAAGATACTCCTTGTCTGTATGAGACATGTCTACCTCTCATAGGAACAGAAGAAAGATTCAAAGTGAGAACTCTTTGTAGTAAATGCTCTTGGAGTGGTCAGGGACCATCCTTACTATTTAGCTGAAACAAACAAACACTGCATTCTTTTGGCAGTTTAGATATTTTTATTAGTTTCCTTCTTCCTCTCCCTCTCCAGCCTCTTCCTCCTCTTCCTCGCCCTCCTGTTTTTCCTCTTCTTCCTTCTCTTCCTCTTCTTCTTCTCCTCATCCTCCTTCTCATGATAGGCACTTCAGGAGAGGACCATGGTCATCCTAAGGATTTAGCTTTGAAGTATCAGAAATTATGATCATGCTCACATCTTTTAGATGAGGCTGCAGTTAGGAGGGGTTTTCAGAAGTCAAGGCTTTGGTTCAGCAGAGGCTCAGGAGGAATCTCAAGAAGAGAATCTCTGCCTCTAGTCTCAGCTCTGGTAACAGTGCACTGCTCAGAACAAGATAACTCACTCTGCTTCTCCCCATCTCAGAGGAGGGGATGTGTGGCAGCGGACAAGGAGACAGCGAAATGAGATGGTTATTGATTGTAGTAAGTGCCTTTAAACACTGGATAAGGAGAGAGTGGTTAGAGGAAGTGCTTTAGATAAAGAAATCAGGGAAATCTTTCAGAGAGGTTGACCTTGGAGTAGTAAGTGAAGGCTGAGACATTCAGCCACGGCGTAAAGTGGAGTGGGAGGCCAGTTCACAGAGAAACGCCACCCGCAGTGGTTTGGAAGGGGGATGGGGGACATTGGGAAAGTGGATGGTGTGATGGAACAACAGAAGGAAAGGGGAATTCCCCCCACAAGGTAGCTATGGTGACATAATTTGAAGCGCAAAGTGAGAATGTAAGGCCTAGTTAAAAATCATTAAAATTTCAAGATGGCGGCAACAGAGCAGAAAGCCAGCCTCCGGGCTCTTCTGGGGACAGGCTGTGTTTCACTGCCCGGACCTCTCTTCAATGAGGTACTTCCGGGCAGAACTTCACCAAGGGTGAACTTTTCTTCATATAAGGGATTGTGTGAGGACATAGGATGGAAGAGAAAGATAGATCGCAGGTTGTACAGAGGTCTTCAGATCTTATAAGGAATTTCGATTGGGAAGAAATATAATATTAATATTTATATGGTAATAGCTGGAGATTTAAGGAGCTGACTATAAAGAGCTAATTTCAGAATAGGAAAATCATAAAGGAAATGTATTGTGTACCAACATTACTGTTTTCCTTACTCTTAAATGTAATAATTCCTAATGGTTTTTAAAAGCAAATTGAAACAATTTGAAATCAGGGTATCTTTAACTCCCTTGGGCAATAGGAGCCTGCCTGACCATCACTGCTACACACAAGAATTCTGCTCTCCCACTACCAGTTGTAAATGATGTTTGTAAATTGCCCCTGAACTTCTTGCTACATAGCCCCTGCCAAGTCATTGTTACCATCTCTGAGGTTAAAGTACACTCCATAATGTCAGGGGCGGGTATCTTTTCCAAGACATGCTTTGGGAGATCCTATGTCCTTTCCTGAGACTGATTACTGACCTATCAGCAGCCTACACATTATTTTCTGCATTTGACCCTAAAACTTTTTTTTTTGAGCTTAGAATTGAACACAGAGCCTTATATGTACTAGGCAAGCACTCTGCACTGAGATATCTTTCTTGTCCCTGACCCACAATATTTATAAAATAACTAGAAATACACATAAACTAAGTCTTTGAAAGGCATACTTTTGTATTAAACCATAACAAATAACTGGTAACTGCTTTCCAAAACATTTTAAAAACATATTTGTTGAATTTTTTGCTCTCTTCTTTCATGTAAGCTGTGGTTCATCCATCTTTTACCCAATATTCCCTAAACTCATTTAAAGTGTGCCTTGGAAAATGAACTCAAATATGAATTTATTTGTTCAGCATGATGATAATAAGCACTTGATCTTGATGTTTGTACTTCTCATAACCCGTCTCTATTTTTGGTGAAGAAAATTCTCCAGTCACATCACTGACTTGATCTGTCTTTTTTTTCTACAAGGTCCTTTATCAACCTTATCTAAATGCTTCTATTGTGAAAAACTCCCTGCAGTGTATAAACCTTACTTTAAGCCCTAGAAACTCCAGAGCTCCAAAAATACTCCACCAATGAAACAGCTTATTATGTGTGACAATGTTTGTGTTCAAATGTATGAAGACTAACGGGGTCTGAATCAGCTAACATGATTCATGAAGGTATTTAAGGTATTCGTAATAAAATATTCCAAAGGTGTGATTGCAAAACACAGTGAATGTTTAAATTTTTTTAAAAATGATTACAATAAAAGACACAGTCCCATGAATCCCCACAGTACTCCCTTCACTTTGAACACACGTACCCTATTATTCTTGCCCTGCTCTGGAGTAGCTCTGGAAGTGCTCTTTCGTGAGTGTCTTTAGTTGCACTGTTGTGGCCGCCTTGATGTCCTGAATAGATTCAAAATGTTTACCTTTTGGGTCATTTTGACTTTGAGGAAGAGCCAGAAACATTTCAACTTGACTGGCTTTGGAGCTGCATATGGGATTAGTGAAGCACACTGCTAAGTGTGTTTGGGTGGTCGAGGGGGTGTGACCTTGGGGTGTATACCGATCCTGACCCTGTCCTCTCTGGTGCTGTTCCTCTACTCTGCTTCTGGGCTGCCATGAAGTAAGCAGCTTTATTCTGCCATGCCCTTCAACCGTAATGTTCTTGCCTTGGAGCCAGCCAACCATGGACTGAACCCTTTGAAACTGAGACAAGTAAATTCCTCCTTTAAATTGTGGATGTCGGGTACTGTGACCCAATGATGAAAAGCTGACTAATACAGTAGGTGAAATTTGTGCAGCTGCCTCTGGCTTTGGGCCTCTCACAAGGGCAGCACATCATCTTGGGAACACATGGCAGAGCAAAACTGCTGCCATTGTGAATCAGAAAACAACGAGGACGGGGCCAGGTCCCACTCTCCCCTTCAAGGGCACGGCCCCCTAGAGATCCCTGGATCTCCTCCCTGCTCTGCTTCTGTAGGTTACACCCCGTTCTTTTAACAGTACCCTGGAGGGCAAACCTTTAGTACACAGACCTTTAGTGAACATTTAGAAGCCACCCTGTCTTAGTCTGTTATGTGCTGCTAAAGCAGTGTCATGATCATTGTTGTTTACAATGCAC